CTTTAATTGGTGTTTGTATATTTTTTTCTTTCTTTTTATAGGAATTAGATCGAAATTAGCTGACAGAGCACTGTTATTATCTGGGGGGGGGGAACAAAACCTAGAGTTTTAAGGTGCCTAAGTAGGCCCTGGAATCACGGTTAAAGTTGCCCCTCCCACCAAAATCTGTTGGTGAGCCAGGAGTGGCCAGAAGGCTGCAGGATGGCTGTGGGCTCCAGCAAGATGCAGCCCCTATGTGATAGCACGAAGCCCACCTTGAGTCGCAGGCGGACTGCTAGGCGCCACAAGCCACAGCAGCAGTGCAGAAGTAAGGGCGGCAACACACCATACACCAGGTCACCCTTACTTCTGCCTTACTGCTGACAGTGGGGTTGCCTTCAGAGCTGGGCACCCAGCCAGCAGCTGCTGCTCTCTGGCCACTTAGCTAGCGCTTACCTCTTTCAAAACAAATTAAGCACTGGGGAGAGGCTACGGGGCCCGGAGGTGAGAGACCAGGAGTGATGGGGCACCCATGGGGCCCGGAGCAATGGGGGGGGGGGGGGCATGGGCGCCAGGGACTCCAAAATTCAAGTCCACCCAGGGCGCCATTTTCCCTAAAGCTGGGCCTGGAAGGGGGAATTTTGGCCAATGACACTTAGAAAAATCCCTCTTTTTACATGGAGTCCTTGTGAAGTTTAATGTCCATGCAGACAGCAGCACAGAGACACGACTCCTCAAAGGAGGATTACAAGGCAGAACACCCTGCCCCTGACGATACAATGTTATTTACTGCCTAACACTGCAGGAATGAGCCTGCTGGTCTGGGGCCAAGGAGCAGAACTGTTGACCTGGAAGAATGTGTATCTTGCAAACAGTTCTGCTCTGTAACTGCCAGAAGTAACTGAGAGTCCCTGCGCTGTATTCATGGCGTCCTGGACAAAGCAGCCATCTACTACTGTAGGGACCTGTGCCACTCAGCACACCCTGGTCCCTACCCAAACGGTTCTCCAGGATTCCCTCCCGTGGTTACCGATTGCTTTACAGAGACAGTAAAATCCACCTCAAATTATTGCTTTGGATTAGGGCTGTCAAGTGATTAAAAAAATTAATTGTGATTAATCACGTGATTAAAAAAATTAATTGTGATTAATCGCATTGTTAAACAGTAATAGAATGCCATTTATTTAAATATTTTGGATGTTTTCTACATTTTCAAATACATTGATTTCAATTACAACACAGAATACAAAGTGTACACTGCTCACTTTATTCTATTTTATTTTGATTACAAAGTATTCGCACTGTAAAAAACAAAAATAGTATTTTTTAATTCACCTAATACAAGTACTGTAGTGCAATCTCTTTATCATGAAAGTTGGACTTACAAATGTAGAATGATGTACAAAAAAAACTGCATCCAAAAATAAAACAGTGTAAAATTTTAGAGCCTGCAAGTCCACTCAGTCCTACTTCTTGTTCAGCCAATTGCTTAAACAACTTTGTTTACATTTGCAGGAGATAATGCTGCCCACTTCTTGTTTACAATGTCACCTGAAAGTGAGAACAGGCATTCTTGAAGCACTGTTGTAGCCGGCGTTGCAAAATATTTATGTGCCAGACGCACTAAAGATTCATATGTCCCTTCATGCTTCAACAACCATTCCAGGGGTCATGCATCCATGCTGATGACAGGTTCTCCTCGATAAGACTCCAAAGCAGTGTGGACTGACGCATGTTCATTTTCATTATCTGAGTCAGATGCCACCAGCAGAAGGTTGATTTTCTTTTTTGGTGGTTCGGGTTCTGTAGTTTCTGCATCAGAGTGTTGCTCTTTTAAAACTTCTGAAAGCATTCTCCACATCTCGTCCCTCTCAGATTTTGGAAGGCACTTCAGATCTTAAACCTTGGGTTGAGTGCTGTAGCTATCTTTAGAAATCTCACACCGGTACCTTCTTTGTGTTTTGTGAAATCTGCAGTGAAAGTGTTCTTAAAATGAACATGTGCTAAGTCATCATCCGAGACTGCTATTACATGAAATATATGCAGAATGTGTGTAAAACAGAGCAGGGGACATATAATTCTCCCAAAGGAGTTCAGTCACAAATTTAATTAATGCATTTTTTTTTAAAACGAGCGTCATCAGCATGGAAGCATGTCCTCTGGAATGGTGGCTGACACATGAAGGGGCATACGAATGTTTAGCATATCTGGCACGTAAATACCTTGCAATGCCGGCTACAAAAGTGCCATGCGAACACCTGTTCTCACTTTCAGGTGACATTGTAAATAAGAAGAGGGCAGCATTATCTCCTGCAAATGTAAACAGACTTGTTTGTCTTAGCGATTGGCTGAACAAGAAGTAGGACTGAGTGGACTTGTAGGCTCTGAAGTTTTACATTGCTTTGGTTTTGAGTGCAGTTATGTAACCAAAAAAAATCTACATTTGTAAGATTCACTTTCACAATAAAGAGATTGCACTACAGTACTTGTGTGAGGTGAATTGAAAAATACTATTTATTCTGTTTATCATTTTTACAGTGCAAATATTTGTAATAAAAAATTATATACACTTGGATTTCAATTACAACACAGAATATAATATATATGAACATGTAGAAAAAATCCAAAACATTTAATAAATTTCAATTGGTATTCTATTGTTTAACAGTGTGATTAAGACTGCGATTAATCCCAATTCATTTTTTTAATCACGATTAATTTTTGTGAGTGAATCGCGTGAGTTAACTGCGATTAATTGACAGCCCTAGTTTGGATTAAAGCCACCACAGCAACCTGGGCAACGAAACAGCATGGGCGTGAAGGATACGCTGTAGCTTCCTGTTGTGGAAAAGTGGGCTTTCTTGGGCCTCCATGACCGTCATCGTGTACTGCTTGTTCAGGCGACAGTACGACAGCACCAAGGAGCACCAGGCTGTCATCTGCTTCTGCCGGGTGTCCACATTGGGCTGCAACCTAGAAACAAACACAGAGGTGCTTCTGATCAACATCTGGTTCCAGGCACAGCAGGATCTGGGCTTAAAGAGGTTTAAGGGGGTGACAAACGCAGTCAGACAAGCCACTCCTCCATGCAAACCTCACCATAATGTCAGTGGAACCTGAAGCTTCAACAAACAGCGGCTACATCAACAGATGAATCCCGAGGCAAACCTCCAGCAGTGCTCCTGACACCTGCCCCCACTCCAGATGCCACCTGGGTGGAATACCAGGACGGGCCACCAAAGAGGACACCCTGCGCAGGGTTTGGATTCCCACCTGACCTGCTGAGGGCCAACTGGGCTGACAAAGGTGGCAGGCAGGCAAGCAGCTGCGCTGGAGAGGGGGCAGGACAGGGCAGGGGGGAGACACCGGAGCTGCAGGGGGCAGTTGGACAACCGGACAACCAGCCGTCAAAGCCAGGTGACTCCTCTGGAGCAGGGGTTCCCCCCTCCACGTGTGCAGCCGCTGCTGTTCCTGTCCCCCACCTCCTCCCCAGAGCCACCCCTGGCCACTCCAGACTGGGAGCAGTGTCCTGTCTGCTAGGGGGGTGTGCTGATGTCAGGGTGTCCCCCTCACCCATGCACCTGATTTCCACTGATCTGGAGTGACGGGACAGGGGGAATCTGTGTATGCTGCTGCCTATATGCCTTGTGTCTGAACACAAGCCTTAATAATAATTATTATAATAATTTATGGGGATATCCTATCTTCTAGAAGTGGAAGGGACCCTGAAAGGTCATCGAGTCCAGCCCCCTGCCTTCACTAGCAGGACCAAGTACTGATTTTTGCCCCAGATCCCTAAGTGGCCCCCTCAAGGATTGAACTCACAATCCTGGGTTTAGCAGGCCAATGCTCAAACCACTGAGCTATCCCTCCCTCCTGACCCTGAGTGCTTTCTTAAAGAGACAGCGCAATCATACACTCAGGCACACACACATTCCCCTCAACACAATACACACTGTTTCACACACACAACACCAGGGCTTCTTGCATTCAGGTCACTTCCCCACCTGGGCTGTGCTGAGACATCAGCAGCTGCTGCTCTCTTGCCCTCTCCGTATGCAGCCCAGGGGGTGCCCGGGGCAGAGGTGCAGCAGTGCCAGGTGGGTCAGTTTCACCAGGTGGACGCAGGAGGGAAATGCAGGGGTTAGGGGCTCAGGAGAGGGGTGCAGGGGTAGGAGTGACAGGGGCACAGTGCAGGGGATGGGGTGCAGGAGGGAGGGGAAGGGGTTGGGGGGACGGGAGGCTGGAGAGCCCATGGGCACCAAAATGCAAGTTCGGCTGGGGTCCATACAGATGCGGGAGGCAGAGCGCGGGGCCCCGGCACGGGGGGCCTTGGGGTGACAGGAGGAAGGGGGTGCGGCGGGGGGCTCAAAGGGTGGAAGGGGCCTGTCCGGAGCGGGGCTGGCAGGGGAGATTCAGGGGGACCCCGTCGGGGCGGGGCGGTTCCGAGGGGGCGGGGGTGGGGCGGGGGCGGTTCCGAGGGGGCGGGGGGCTCTGTGGGCCGGGGG